GCAAACTTAAACTATCTTAAAATGTTATTTTTCTTAAATGCAATCACGGTGGAGTAGGGCGAGCTAGTGTGGAATCAATCCACACTGGGTTTTGGAGAAAATGAAGATTCATCTGTTTTCCTTGTCAAATGGAGAGGTAGTAGCAACTCAGAGAATCACAGAGAGATGGGAGGGAGAGACAGAAAGAGGGGGAGAGAGAGAAAGAAAGAGAGGAAGGAAGGAAGGAAGGAGGAGAGGGAGGGAGGAGGGAGGGAGGGAGGGAGGAAGGAAGGAAGGAAGGAGAGAAGAAAAAGAAAGAAGGAAAGAAAATTAGGACATGATGCAACTTTCTCTCGTGGGCTGATGACGGTGCTGTCTCAGAGCTAGTAGGTGGCATGCCCAAGCAGAGGTATTCTTTCCTGAAAGTCAGTCCCAGGTCAGGTTGCTGTAGCCCAGTTTTGGTCCTGGTCTTGCCCTGCCCCCAGGGGACATGGACACAGACACCCCTTTAAATCCCTTAACCCTCTTCAACCCTTCCTGGGCAGATCTAGGGTTATGGTTCTGAAATTTACGTAATTGTTAGGTGTTTGCATTCTTTGAGATACAAAGTTATAACAAAATAAACATTTATTTAGAATGAGAAAAGAAAAATCACACCAATCACTGCAACTTGGGTATTAGGTGTGTTCCCAGTGAGTTCTTTAGATAGTGTACTGGAAATTATTGCAGGGAATCACTGCTTCATGGCATCCTGCCCTTGACCTTCACAACTTCCAGCAACTCTCAGCACTTGTAGAAGTTGTTTCAACTAGTATCCTGGAAGCTTCCAGAAAACCCATCTCTTCCTCCTTCTTGGGTTTGTAGCTACTGAGACCAGAGGGTGATCCTTACTCCACCAAAATGAAGTGCCCAACCCCCTGCCAAGCAAACTCATCCCCAAGGCCAAGAGCTTGGTGACAATGGGACTATGAGTCACCAAACAAACACACCCAGCTGTCTCAGATAGATTTTTAATTTCCACTGCAAGACCTGTTTCAGGCCCACAGGCTGCTGAAAGCCACCCTACCTGCCCTCATCCTCTCAGTCCTGGCTGTTGCCAGTCAATCAGTCAACAATTCATTAATTACTTCAGCACCTATTAAGTAATTGCTAGTTCCAGGCCTGAAACTAGGGGCTAGAGACATGGGAATCTACAGGCAACAGCCCACTTTGAGAACTTTAGCATCTGGTGAGGAAGGGCAGGCATGCTTATAAACATGGCTACCATTTCCCAAACTCTGGATGTGCAGGGCTTGTAGGGAAATCACATGTGGCCACCTTCACAAACATGCCTGTCATCTTGGTCCTGGAAGTGGGCTCAATTTAGAGATGGGACATGAAGACTCTGGAACGTTGGTACGAGTCATGTGGTCAGTTGGTAGAAGGGTCTTAAGTGGACCTCCCTGCCCCTTTTCTTCCTTAGTCATTTGAAGCAAGGCTAAAGTTAGGCTAAGGTGTGGGCACAGGAAGGAAGGGACATGGATCTTGCTTGGGGCCTGGAAGAGGGTGCGTGGGACTGCTTGCTCCAGTGTTGAGGTGAGAGCTGCTCATACAGCCCTGTCCTCTGCCCTCAGGATGTCCGGAGATGGAGTGGGTCCTGTGAACATCTGTAAGTCCTTGGCCGCCAACAGAGCTGTTCAGACTTAGCTGGTAGTTTGACTTGGAAGACTGATCTGAGGGTCCTGCTTATGGGGCTGGGGGCCACCTTCCCTTCCTCACACAGTTCTGGTGTTTTCCCTGGAACTCACATCTATCCTGTTCAGTGGTCCACAGCAAGAAGGCAGTAATTGGAGTGGGAGTTAGGGGAAACTGGGAGAGGGAAGGCTCTGAGCCCCCGTGGAGCAGCTCCTGCCATTGTCAGAGGCTCCTTTTGTGTTGTCCATGGGGTAGGGGTGTCAGAGAGAGAAGGCAGGGTGAAGGAGATGGATGGCTGTGACAGGAGGGTGGGTGGAGGAAAGGATGGGTTTTTTGGTTGGTATACTAATCAGGCCCTTTTCTTCTCTTATAGCTATGGTGAATGCTGCTGGGGTTAGTGGTGGCAGGTTGGTCTTAGGGGGAACCATGGGCAGCAATGCTCTGAGTTTCTCCAGCAGTGGGGGACCTGGGGCCCTCAAGGCCTTTTCCATCAGGACCACGTCCACCACCCACAGAAACCCCCTTAACTGAGCACATACAACCAAGCTGTGGGCATGGAGAGACCCCTGTGTCCACAGTACAGGAGAACCCTTCCTGCCTTATGTCCCTGCCCCAAGACTTAAAGATGGTCTAAAAACTGCTGCCGTTGGTTTCAATAAAGATCCTCCCTGAGTGAGCTTCATTGGTTGACCACAGGTGTGCCCTGGACTGAGGTTGAGGATGAGGTGGGGTGTGTCTCCAAAGTGCTGGACACCTCTCCAGGGTGCTATCTTGGCCCCTGCCCAGGCTGGGGCTGGTTCTAGCACTTCTCCTGAGGGCATTCAAGACTGTAGGGAACTACAGGCTGTGCCGACAGGTGGGCACCTTTCCCTCCCTAGGGTGGCTGTTTTGCACTCCTGTGTTCTCTGCTGCCAGAGCGTTGTCCTCTTGAAGTGAGAAGATCACACACATTAGGCCTTGGGCTCTGGCAGCTTAACAACTCCAGTGCCAGCCACCTTCAGCCCTTAGTAGGACCCAGGACTGTGTATCTGGGTACTTACAGGGGCTTCTCTGCACCTGTGGTTCTCTGGGGGCAATGGTCATGGAAAGAAGGTCTGGGTACGATAGGGGGGTTCCAGAGTCTAGGTCATGATAGGGGGTCTGTTCCTAGATCCTTGGGTGGAGGAATATCTGGATCTCTGGGGAGGTGACCTCTGTTCTGGGGCTTCCAAATATCTGGGTCTCTGATGGAGGTTCATGCGTCTATCTGTATATTGGGAGTTTGTGCCAGGACAGAGTACATGGGAGGAAAACTGGGAAACTTGTGTGAGGTCTCTGGGTCTGGAGCCCTGGGTCTGGAGCCCATGGGGTTGGGATAGTTAAGGGGAACATCAAGGAGGTGTTGACTTCTGGGGATGAGTCTATGTGTTAGATCCCTTGGGAATGGAGTTTTGAACTAAATAAACACTTATTTAGAATGAGGCGTAATATGGGGGGGGGTGAAGGAAGTGGACCACTGGTGTCTCCTCAGCTACCCATGGGGTTACCATAAATGCTGTCAGGAAATAAGTCTTTCCCCTGCAGGGTGGATCCCTCCCTCATTGCCTTTGTGGTTCTGTGTGTCTGGGTTTGAGGACTGCTGGCCCATCCTCTGTGCCTTCAACATGCTGCATGTGTAGAGTGGGTAGGTATCCAGGGACAGCCTTCTTTCCTCCAGGGCTGACAGCAGCTGCCCTGTTACAGAAACCTGGGCAGCAAGGCCAAGTGTCTGAAGTGATTATCAGAGCACACCATCCATGACTGTGAGCTTTATTGAGATCAGAGCTCAAGCACAGGGAGCCTAGGCAGCTGGAAATTAGCCTCTAGGAAGTAGAAGTGTCACCATAGCTACGGTTGGGGGAGGGGAGGCAGAGTGCACAGAAGCCACAGGTGCCCAAGCCCCCAGAACATCCTAACTCGGGACTGAGTCTTTGCCCAGAACGAAAGGGACATGGATCATTTAGACACGGGGTCAGGGACCAGGCAGGATCGCAAGTCCGGGAGCCTTGGCTTTCCCGAAAGAGATGAAGGGGGCAAATTTGCGGCAAGGGTGGAGCGCAGTAGTGAGGCCAGGTCAGGACACCGGCGCCCCCAGTCCTTCAAGTCGGGGGCCTTCAGGCCCTGGGACCGCCTCTGGACGCAGGGGCTGTGGCTGGCGGAGCGGCGGCGGGGAGCAAAGCGGAGGTCCCACTACGCGAACCTCACCGAGCGGCCACTGCCGCAGCTCTGGCCGCAGGGAGCGCACAGGCCGGTGCTCACGGCCACGTTCCCGCTGCACGGGGCGCTGCAGACGCCGCCGGTCACCGGCCGCGAGCCCGACACGCACAGGTCTCCGGACACGACCCCGCCTCGGGAGCTGCTGACACCTGCGGGAGGAGGACTGGGCTTAGCAGCGAGCCGGGTGGGTCGTCCAAGGCAGCCCCCGGCCGCTAGCTCAGGCTCCGCCCCTCTCTGCTAGCCCCGCCCATCGTATGCCCTCCCCAGGAGGCCTTCTAGTCCCGGCAGAACAGCTCAGGAATTACCGCAAACACATTGCCCCACCCTCTCCCTTCATTTGAGTTTCTGCTGACTGCTTACACTGGCTGCCTTTCTGTTTTGTAAATAAAATTACCGGAACTCTCTTTTGAGTGTTGTCTGTGGTTGCTTCCATATTACAAGCACAAGAAACTAAAAGCCTGAAATATTTATTTTCTACTTTAAGAAAGTTTGCCCACCACCAAACCTCAAGCACTTATTTCAGACCACACAGTGTAGATCACTTACAGACATTTACAGCGCCAACGCCCTCACACAACCTTGTGGGCAGAGCAAAGAGACAAAAGTTAGTTCTGGAGCGTAAAGCTGAGGGAATCTTTTTACCTGAAAATTCCTTCCTCTAAGTAATGTTGATGCAAATTAGATGCAAATAACATGCTTCATACCTCCACTGGGCAGGTAAAAGAGATACCCTTGGCCTCCTCGCCCTCCAGCAGGCGCCTGTAGGTGGCGATCTCGATGTCCAGACCCAGTTTGGAGTTCATCACCTCCTGGTACTCCTTGAGCAGGCAGGCCATGTCCTGCTTGGCCTTCTGCAGGGCGGCCTCCAGCTCAGTCAGCTTGCAGCGAGCATCTGTGAGCGCCGCCTCACCCTGCTGCTCAGACTGGGTCACGGCAGCCTCCAGCTTGGTGTTCTAGGAGACAGTGTATGTGTGTTTGGGGAGGGGCTGTTATTAAGTCCAGTGTTCTGTGTTCAAGGCTTAAGGCCTAGCATTCACTGGTGGTTGCTATCAGAAGAGACCTGACCCATTTGTAAGGTCAGGGGCTGTACATCACTGTTCCCAGGGAATGCTGGTACTGTGTCCTCAGTCCTGAACACTGACCCACCGAAACAGATGCCTGGCTTCTTTTGCAGTTAAAGAGGTTTGGCTACATTAGCCCTGCATGTCCTTCTGACTCACTTCTGTTGGGTCTGGTTAGCTCCTCCCTTTGTGTTTTCCAGTTGGCCACAGCCCTGTGCCGGGGACCAGCCTATTGCTCACATTTAATACCCCCTGTTGTGACTGCTGACCTAGAATGGTGGGCCAGAGAGGTTAAAATGGCTCTCTCAAATCCCAAGGCTTGCAGGTGCCAGGGATGATTTCAGAACCCAGTTTCCTGTACCTCAGAAACCAGTGCCATTTCCTCAGCCCCATTCTGCCTCCAGGATCAGGAAAGCCCTTGCACCTCTGTACTGAGCTCCATCTCTATTCATCAGGAGTGACAGCATTTCCCAGGAGGAGGTGGTCCAGATGTTTGATGTTTCTTCCATTCCATTGGCCAGGAGCCTAACCTCCACCTCTGCTCCAGGCTGGCCCCACTTTTTCCCCACGCTGGGAGGAAGTTGGGCTCTTTACCTGGCACTTGGCATTCTCTACTTCAGCGGTCAGCCTCTGGATGATGCGGTTCAGCTCGTTGATCTCCTCTCTGGTGTGGCGCAGGGTCTCCCCATGCCGGATCACTGTGGCCTTTATCTCCTCGCACTGGAAGGAAGTGGAGATGCCTGTGAAGCTCAGACTGGGACATCTATCCATTGAGCACATTAGCAGTGAGTGTGCAGGTTGAATAGTGCTCAGCCTGTGAAACCATGAAGGCAGCCTTACTCTACTCATTGTTAGGGATCTGAATCCTCAGACAAAAGGAGCTCTTTCTAATAGATACCTAACATCCTTTCTGTTGCTGTATTTAAGGGACATGTATCCTGACCACTCACCTTGGTGCGGTACCAGGACTCGGCCTCAGCCCGGCTGCGGGTGGCGATGTCATCATACTGAGCCTTGATCTCGGCCACAATGCAGTCCATGTTCAGTTCCCGGCTGTTGTCCATCTTGACGATGAC